GGGGCAACCCCAGTTCTGAGCTGCCTTGGGTGGGGGGGGCAGTGGCATTGCCTGCAGCTTCCTCCACCTCCTCCTCCTCCTGCTCCTCCCTTGTAGCTTTCCTGGCCGCCCAGAATGCCCACTCCGTGCTCAAGCGCTTCCCCAGAGCCAACGGCTTTCTGGAGGAGTTCCGCCAGGGCACCCTCGAGCGGGAGTGCCTGGAGGAGATCTGCAGCTATGAGGAGGTCAAAGAAGTCTTTGAGAACAAGGAGAAGACGGTAGGGAGACACGCGGGCATGCGCCCCCGCCCCCACTCTGGCCTTGGGGAGGAGGGGGGACTCTGGGCTGCAGTGGGGAGGTGGGGGCTGGGGGCTGCTGGGGGTGGCGGTGCCTGGTCTGGCTGCCCTGAGCAGAGAGACTGTTCCTCCATCCGCTCTGTTCTCTCACCCCTCGAGGGCAGATGGGCTCAGCCTGGCAGGTGATGCTGCTGGTGAGGTAGCTGCCGTAGCGCACCTGCCAGTTGTAGAGCGTACGTGTGTAACAACAACATTTATTATATATAAAAAGGCCTGATGCACAGGCGTCACAGGACAAAAATAGAAAGATGAGTCGCTTCCTGAGTGGTGCAGGAGAGGGAGGCCCTGGAAGGGAATTGGGTGGGGGAACTTTGCCTATTCTGGAAGATAAAACAAAAGGGGAGGATGAGTTAGACTGAGTGCAATAATATAAGCCAAGAGCGGGCCGAATAGATAGCTAGGTAGATACTCCTTTTCTCTCTGGGGATGAAGGTACCTGGGATTGCTTGGTTCAGTTGCACGTTGTTCTTCAACACTGGTAGGGGAGCGGAAAGACCCTCCCATAAGAATAACATGGGAGGGGGAGCGTTGCTGGTGTGCATGTGTTTGGTCAGGCCAAGGGTGCCTGTGTTTTAGGCTCAGCTTGTCCTCAGGAATTGTCCAGATTGTCCACCCGCTTGGGTTTGGGGTTTGGGGCCCTTGGCCTTTCCTGGCAGATTGTTGCTGGCCTAGAGCATTTGGCCTCTGACAGGGCTTGGGGTGGGGGTGGGGTGGGTCAAGGGCGGTGTTGGCTGGCAGGGGCTGATGGCCTTCCTTCCTGGCAGATGGAGTTCTGGAAGGGCTACGCTTACTCTGTCAAGGACCCCATGGGTGGGACAGGCCGCTCGGACGCCATGTACGTGGTGATTCCTCTGCTGGGGGTCGCCCTTCTCCTCATCATCGCCCTCTTCATCATCTGGCGGTGCCAGCTGCAAAAGGCCACTCACCACCGACCTTCCTATGCCCAAAGCCGCTACCTGGCCAGCCGGACTGGACGCAGCCTGCCCAGGGTGATGGTGTACCGGGAGGCCTCCCACAGCCAGGGAGAAGGCAATGGTCAGCGGGATCTGAACAGCAGTGGCGGCAGAGGGCGACGGCAGCAGAACGTGGGGCCGGCTGGCCTGGGAGACAACACTCTTCGGCCCCCAGCTGACCCCCCAGCCCCGACCCTCTCCAGACTGTCCAGTGCCACCCCACCCCCTTCCTATGAGGAGGTGACCGGCCATCCTGAGAGCAGCACTAATGGGGGCCGGAGCAGCAGCAGCAGCAACGAGGAGAGCAGCGTCTCCTACAGCGAGCCACCCCCCAAGTATGAGGAAATCGTGGCGAGCGCCTCCGCTCCTGGGAAGTGACCTAGTGGGCCAACCCAGCAGCACCTCCTGAGTCCCTGCACCTGGATGATGATGATGCCACCACCACTGCCATCATCACAGAAACCTTATCCCCTCCCCAGTGCTCACCAGACTCCCAGAGAGGGCACTTCCACGGCATGCCCTTCCCCTGCTGTGTGGCCAGTGATGCTGCTGAGGTGAGCCTGCCAGGGAGCCTCTGTGGGCCTCCGAGAGGGGACCTTGTTCTCTGATGGAGCATCCGGGACAGCAAGCATGAATTGGGGGCCTCTTTGGTCTTTGAGATGGGTCAGGAAGGGTGCACCTGCTGCCTGCTATGGGGGTGGTGGAGGAAGTGCTTCTGCCCCTTCTGCATGATCCCTGCCTGGTGGGAGCAGGGGGTCCAACCAAGGCTACTTGGGCTGGGCCCTCCAGCATCTGGACTTCTGGGGAAAGCTACCCTCTCTCAATTGGGGCTGAAAAGGCAGGAGCAGCCATGTGGGGAGAACTGGGGCAGGCCTTTGCAACAGCTGAGGGCCATCCTGTCCGGTTGGGGGCCTGGCCCTTTTTTTGTGTGATGGGGAGAAGTGGGAGGGGGCAGAAGCCTCTCTGAAGCCAAGGGCAGGGGGCATATCTTACCCACTCTGTTCTCCCTCTGTGTGAATCCTTCCTTTGCTCCTAGTGCTGCTTTGCTGAAGCAGGAGTGCGGGGGGAGGAAGAAGCCCTCTCTTCTTTTCCTCGGCCTGTGCAATGCTGCTTCTGCCCAGCCACATCCTGTGCACCTCTGCTGCGGCCCGGCTGCTCCTCCAAAAAAGGAAAACAAGCAGAGCCTCTCCTGGAGGAAATCAGCCAAAGTCAAACTCGGGGGTTGCACCCCGGGTCCTTCATCTTGACAGTTGCCACTGCCTGGTACTGTATATCTATTGAGCAGCCCAATGCTAGAAGAAGCTGTGTGCATGTGCTTGTGTGCACAACACAACTGTGCACATATGCACTGTATTTCTTCTGACAGAGCGAGCCAGTGGGTGGCTTGGCTCTTCTCTGTTCCTTTTCATCCTGGGGAGGGAGCCACATTCTCCCCCCTCCCCCTCCAGGCGCACAGGGAGGAGGGTCTTTTCTTCTGCTGCTGCTTTCTAATTGCTGCATCTTCCAGAGCCTCCTAGCTGTTTCCCCCAACCTTTCCCTACCCTCCACCAGCTTCCATTCCCTTCACTGAGGAGGGCATTTAAAAGCAGGTGCCTGTAGGAACTCCCCACAGGAAGAAGAGGATCGGGTTCTCTGGACCTCAAGTCCACAAGTCTGTGGAGAAGGCAGCTGAACGCCAAGAGGTTTGCAGAGGTGCCTGCCTGTTTCCCCAACTCCCGAGGCTGCTACCACCTCCCCTCACTGTGGAGGTTTCCAAATGGAATCCAGAAGAGACTCTTCCCTCTCCTTGGCTTTCTGCTCTCCATTGTCTTGGCTGCTTTCTGTGCAGTCTGTCCAGGTTGGTCAGGACCTTTCTGTGCAGGTGGGGCTGGAGCTCCATGCCACTCAGTACAGGATGAGGGCCATGCAGGCCAGAGGCCATTGCACCCTATCGACACTACCGAACTGCAGCCATTGGAGGACCCCTGAAACTCTGGACTCTGTCCCATGGAATCTCAAAATAGTTTAGTGGAGTCCCAGAGAGGTCTCTGCCCATCCAGCAAGGGAGCTGAGAAGTCTCAAACTCCTTTGCTAAAGGACAAACCCCAGAATTCCACAGGATGGACCCCTGGCTGATGAAAGGTGGTCTGGCTGTCAAAAGTCCAGAATATGAATGTGCTCTCTGTGTCTTGGAGCTGTTTTTAAAAAGCAGTTTTTCCTGTTTCTGGAAAATGGAATACCTTTTGACTCAGACTAGGGTTATGGTTGATGGCTTCCTGCCTCCCTCTCCCCACCACCACCCCACCTCCAATGCATACGCACTCACTCACTCGTGTGTGGGCAGACAGACAGACAAACATACACACACACACTTACTTCTCAATGGTGCTAAGACATAGCCAGATATTACCTGTTGTGTATTTATGTATGTTGTTCTGTTATATTTATTTATATAGTTTGTTTAAAGCAAACCAAACATCATTTAACATGGGAGTTACACTGCTTTTTTTTTTTTTTTTAAAAATTCAAATTGTGCTTGAGTATGTGCCACAGGACATGGTGGCGCTGTGAGTTAAACCGCAGAAGCCTCTGTGCTGCAAGGTCAGAAGACCAGCCGTCGTAAGAGTCCCCACGATGGAGTGAGCTCCCATTGCTTGTCCCAGCTCCTGCCAACCTAGCAGTTTGAAAGCATGCAAATGCAAGTAGATAAATAGGTACCACCTTGGTGGTAAGGTAACCACATTCGGTGTCTAGTTGCGCTGGCCACATGACCACGGAAACTGTCTTTGGACAAACGCTGGCTCTATGGCTTGGAGACGGGGATGAGCACCGCCCCCCCCCCCAGAATTAGACACGACTGGACTAAATGTCAAGGGGAACCTATGTGCCACCGAGCTAAAGTAAACAAATAAAAAAAAAAAGAGGGTGAGGGTTGCAGCAAAAGGTAAGCCAAACCTGGCACATCCCTCTTCTTTCTCCTTGCCCCATGCTGTGGATGATGCCAGGCCTCTTGGGGGGGGGGAAGAGTGCCCCCAATATGGAGGAACCACCACCACAAGCCAGGAACTCTTCTGGCCCTCCACAGGAGGACCCAGCCCGTGAACCTGGGTCGAAGTAGGTGACCTTCCCACGGCGCGAACTGGCAGGCAGAAACTGACCGGTGACGTTACTGAAGGAGGGAAGGGCGCCTGTTGATTCCAGCCGCCCGCAAGCCTCCCCTCGCAGGCCGGCCGGTCAGCGGCGGGCAGAGGGCCCTTCGAGGGGCGGGGCGGCCTCCCTCCAATCGCGGCGCGGGGACCTCCCCCGCTTGACGTCACGGGCGGCGAACNATTACCTTACCTTCGGCGTCACTCCGAAGCCGGCCAAGGTCCGCGTCCTGGCTGCCCTCTGCCGGCAATGCCGCCGCCGTGCTAGCCGGGCCCTCAGCCGGCCTCCCGGGCGTGGGAGAGCCTGCCGGCCCCGATCCAAAGGGAGGAAGGACCGCGTCTGGCAGACCCAACCAGTCAGCCGGCCCTGCGCGCGCGGGAGGCCGCCGTTACCTTCGGCGTCACTCCGAAGCCGGCCAAGGTCCGCGTCCTGGCTGCCCTCTGCCGGCAATGCCGCCGCCGTGCTAGCCGGGCCCTCAGCCGGCCTCCCGGGCGTGGGAGAGCCTGCCGGCCCCGATCCAAAGGGAGGAAGGACCGCGTCTGGCAGACCCAACCAGTCAGCCGGCCCTGCGCGCGCGGGAGGCCGCCGAGCGGGACCGTCTCCTCTCCCTTGTTTCTAGGCGGCTGGCACTGTGAGGTAGACCGTCTTGGGCCGGGGAGGTTTTATCTCCCTTCCCTGGATGTAGCTGAAAAGTCTGACTCTGCCAGATCCCACTGAAGGAGCCGGACATCATTCCACCGTGGACTGGAAAGCAACACCACATGCAGGCAAAACACACACACACACACACACACACACACACACACACACAGAGAGAGAGAGAGGGAGGGAGGGAGGAAGGGAGGGAGCAAAGGGCAGCTTCTTTTTGACTTTCTCCCTGGAACATTCCCATCCCCACAGAACTAATTGACTGCATGCCAGGAAAGTTACATTGTGTTCAAGGCAGGGTATACAGTATTTGGTGTTCTTTTTTAAAGAAGCCATCAAAGAATTAGTATGTCAGTTTGTTTCAGTGTATGTATACAACCACACCCAAAGAAAAGCAGAGCCCTACCTGGTTTTGTTTCGTGTTGGAAACATTCTTTCTCAAAAAAACACACACACACACACACACACACACACACACACACAAGATCAAAGTGTACAGAGCCAGAGAACTGGTACTAGCAAAACACACACACACGCACAAACGCACACACACACACAGAGAGAGAGAGAGCCACGTATTTGCTTGCCTGCTCGCTCGCTCTGCCTTGGGAGTCCTCTGTGAGCCAGAGAGAGGCCTTCGGGGAGCAGGCAGGCCGATGGCCAGGAGGTGTGGAGGGTAGCAGTGCCTGGGCATGGCGTGAGCCTCCTCACCTTGGCATGGCGTTCCTCTCTCTTCCTCTCGTGCTCTCTCCGTTTGGGAGGCTGAGCCATTTCTCCTCTGTGCCCCTGCCAGCCTTGAAATTCAGCCAGTCTAAAGCTGAATGGTGGCGCTTCACCCTCCCACCCTAGGGGTGGGGTGGGGGGCACAGCAGCCATTGCATAAATGGGGAAGCCACCCCACCACCGCCCCATCCCTTTTCCTCCCTTTGAGTTAGCCTCAGGCAGCTCTAAGGAGTGGCTGGGGCTCCACTGTGACTGGGGTGTGGGGTGTGGCGAGGCACCCTTAGGGCAGGGCTGGCCAAGGGCACCCAGGGGACTAGCTCCGCAGGGGCTCACTCACGGGGAGCTTTCAGCCAAACACAGTGGCTGCCCTCCTGCCTCAGAGGACCCACCTTTCCTGCTGAAGGGCCTCTTTCCCTCCTGGTGGGAGGCCAGGGACAGAGGTTCTGGGATGCTTCCTGGAACGCCTTGCAGGGCAGGTCACCTGCTCTGCACAGCTGAGCTGACAGCCACTCGGTGTCTGCAGGGCGGCTGTCACCCTGTGGCTCACAGCTGGATGGAAGAAGCCCGTCTCTGTCCCTCACACTTCCCTTCGATGAGCAGAGACAAGCACCTGCCAGAGGCTGCTGGTAGCCTAGTAGCCATTGACAGAGGAAGCAGGCCCGGCCGGCCCCTCTCTCTTGCCCAGCCTGCCTGGCTCGTTCTCTTGTGCTGCTGCTGCTGCTGCTGCTGCTGCTTTTCCTGCAGCATCTGTGTTGAAGGCTGGGGCTGCAACAGCACCAAGCGTGAAGCAGAGCCAGCCAAGGCCTGGGGGGTTCTGGCAGCAGCTGCTGGTGTAAAGCTGAGCTGCTCCTGCTCGAGGGTGGCTGTGCTGTCCATTGGAAGAGAAACACTTTTCTCTGCCAGTTGGTGTTGGGCAAAGAGCTGCAGGTGGTGGCTGCTTCCAGCTCTGGAGAAGATCTGTTCCCCGCCATGAGCCTCAGCTCAGCTGACTTGGCTGGCAGAGAGGGACCAGGCTGGTCTAAGACAAGAGAGTGGCCCGTCTCTGGCTGCAGCCTTTAAGCCGCCACCAGAGGCAGGGAGTCAGGGGGCCTAGCAAAGCTGCCATGGGAGTGGGAAACAGTGCCTGCACCCCAGCAAGGGAGGATGAGCGGGCTGGGACTCGGGGAGAGACTGCCTGCTTTGGCATGCAGAAGCCCTGGGTTCAAACCCTGGCAGCATCTTCAGGGAGAGACAGCCAAGAGGACAATTTCTTCCAATTGTAGTGGATAAAACACGGTGGGTCAGATGGGCTAGCAGTGGCCAACCTCAGGCCAGGGCTGCTTCCTGAGCTTCTCCCTGCCCTTGGCGGGGGCCACTCTTCTGCGTCTGTCTCCAGAGTCTGCCAGGGACTACCCTGCCTTGCACCCTTGCCCTCGGCCTCTCTGGAGCACAAAAGGGTTGTCGATTTGGTTTCTGCCGCTTCTGGCTTTCCTGCTTTGGGAGCAGCCCAGGCGCTGGGCCCCGTCCACAGGGCCTGGGCTGAGGGAGGGAGGGAGGGGGGTCACACAGAAGGGCCGGCTGGCACTCTGGCTGGGCCAGGACTGGGCAGAAGAGAACGGGCAGCCAGCAGGTAGAGTATCCATGGGAGAAGCTCAAGGGACCCCTACAGAGGGAGGGGCGGGTGGTCTTGGAGGAGATCAAGGGGCAGGCTTCTGATCAGGAGGTGCTTTGCCTCTCGTGACTTGGGCGGAGAATTCCTCAGAGCAACCCCGTCTTGGCACCCGGTAAAAAAGAACAAATGTGGGTTGGGTTGGGTTGCTTTTTTTAATCTGTGCAGTCAGACCGTGGCTGGCAGGTTTCGCTGCCTGCTTCCTCCCTGGAACCTCCCGGGTTCTGGGGCGCCGCTCTCTTTGGGTCTATTTAGCACACCGAGCCTTGAGGCAGCTTGCGATTGGAAAAGCAGTGAATAACTGAGCTTCCGAGAAGAAAGCCTGACCCTGAAAGCCTTACCCGCTCTGGCTGGGCAGGCCCATCCCCAGATGGCAAGAGGAGGTGGCTGGTGGGGAGGGGGCTGCCTGGGCAGGGCAGGGCAGGGCAGGGCAGGGATGCCAGCCAGGCTGGCCCAAAGGCCCAGAAGCACTCAGGGAACAGGGAAGGGGGGGCCAAAGAGGGTACGTGTTTGTCCTGTGGGTGTCCCTGCTGGCCTTGGTGAGCCTCCCTTCTAGAGGGAGGGGCAGAGGGTCCAAAGGAGCTGAGAGGGAGGCCGGGGGGGGGAGAGAGAGAGAATCCCTTGGAGGGCTTTTGGCTGCCACCTCACAGCAGTGGGTCTGGGTGCCTCCTCCTTTCCTCAGGGGAAGTCGCTAAGGACCCAGAGGAACCCCCCCCCCCCGAGCTACAGTTCTGTCACCCTGTGACTTCTGGAGGGACGAAGGGCACATTTTCACTCCCAACTTTTTGGAACGGAAAGGCGGCAGCCTTTGTTTCTCCCCTCTCCTCCCCTCCCCAGGGGAGAATGTGGCCCGTGTGGAGCCCTCGCCTAGACGGGGCCCCCTGGGACCTCAGCTTCACCGAGGCCATTAGCCAGCGCATGCAGGTTCCCAGCCACCTGAAGGTAGCTGACCACGGCCGTGGGGCAGGGGAGCAGAGGCCCCCTGAAGAGGACTGGACCCCATCCTTCCAGATGCATGTCCCCGAACGGCTCCTGCTATCAGGTAAAGGGTGACGCCTGTTTGGGGGGAGGGGGTGAAGGACCCCCCCACCCACTCTTGTGGCATCGGCAGGTGTTGGGTGCAGGTGGGAGGGAAGGGGCGCGTAGGGCCTGGGCGGGGGTCGGAACCTGGAGCCTGGAGCCTGCCCCTCCTTACCTTTCCTGCGTGGCCGTTATCTGGGGCCAAGGGCTCCCTCAACTCTCACCCGGTTCCAAGCAGGAACCCTTTTGCCTCTGCCCATTATCTCAGCTGCCACGGTTCCTGAAGGGTGCCCCTGAGGATGCTTGTGTTGAGTTTGCTGGACCAGGCTGCTTGGAGGCGCCCCGTGGTCTTCTTGGGGGACAGAGGAAGGCTGGATCTGAGCCCCCACTCTTTCTCCCTTTATCTCTAGAAATGACAGAGGTGGCCTCCAAGACTCTCCATGGGGGGCCATGGAGGCGCCACAGCCCCAGTAGGACCGACACACCTCTTTCTGAGCCCCCCGTTCAGGCTGCGATTTATGGGGAACTCCCTTTCCTGGGCTTCGTCACCCGAGCAGGATCCCAGAAACGCAGACACCAGGTACTGTGTTCAGGACAGTTGGGGTCCAAGGGTCTGATCCTGGTGTGTGTGTGTGTGTGTGTGTGTGTGTGTGTGTGTGTGTGCGCACGCGCTTGGAGCTACATCAACTGCTTCTAGCTGCAGACGTGGTTGGCAAAAGGGAATGGGATGGGTCCCTGGGACGGGAGCAATGTTCTCGGGAGAGAAATCAGGAGGAGCGCAGGGGGCAAGCTGCCCAAATGGCCTCCCTTTGGTTCTTTCCCTCCCATCAAGAGCTGCCATTAAATGCCCCTGAGCCCTGCGAGGCAGGGGAGGCAGGAGTGAGGAGAGGAGGAAGGTCCTGTTGGCTCTCAGAAAACAAAGGGGGCAAACAGCTCTTGGGTGGTGTGGGGGGAGGAGAAGGTGGGAGGGAGGGGGAGCGCAGCATCTTCTCAAAGCCAGACAGCCCTCCTCTGGAGCCCTGGAGGCCCCTGTCCAGATCTTCCTAAGCAGGAAGACAAAAGGGGGCTCTCCTTTCAGAGAGGGGACATCTGGGACTTGGTTCCTTTGCCCCCCCCTCGCCTCCCAACTCACCCATGTGTCCGAGGGCCTTCTCAGGGCTAAAAATATTCTGCCTATGAAAATGGGGGCTTTGCCTGCCCCCCACCATGGAGGCATCAAACTCTCGGCCCTCAGCAGCCATGACCGCACCCCCAAAGTCAGGGCTTCATCCAGCCTCAGTGGCCGCCTTTCGCTGCCCACGAGCCAGAAGGGAGCAGCGCAGGCACCCAGTGGAGAGAGCCAGGAACGGCTGGGTCTGGGGGTCTGACGCTGGTGGCACCCAGGAGGAGAGGGTCTCCTCAAAGGAGGGCCTGCCGCCTCCTTCCGTAGGGGTAAGGACTTATCACATCATATGAGAATATAAAGGGGTGTCTGCATAGGTCCCTCGGTTTCTGTCTCAGCTACCGGCTTGCTCCACAGCACTCTTGACCATGCAGCCAGTGTGATCTGGTGAACGACATACTTGGTCACAGCGGGAAAGTGCTGAGGTGGACACAGGCCTTGGGAGTGACGTGTAGGTATGGTGGTCAGATGTCCTGCAGCCTCTGTTTGCGTAGGGGAAGCCCCACTGGCCTGAGAGTTTGTCCCCATCAAACCTCTGTGTAACAGTTCTTGGTGGGCCAGACCTCTGTGGAGCCCTCAGGGAGGGGTTGGTTTCTGGGGAAGCTGTGAGGGCCAAAAGGGGTGACACCCTTTGCTTTTTGCACCCCACCCGCCACCCCCCCAGGCTCATCACAGCAGAGCACGGAAGGCAAGAGTGCAAGTGATGGCAGAGGAGACCCCTCAGCTGAGACAGGAATGGTAAGAGGGACGAGGGTGGCCACCATTCCCCTGGGTCACTGCGGGGGGGGGCAGGAGGTGTCCTCAGCAAAGCTCTGAAGTCCTCTCTGAGGGCCTTGCCCTGACCCGTGAGGGGGCCGCAGTGGGAGGGGGAGAATGGGCCTGCACTTCCCCGCCAGGCTCACCCAATGGGTCCTTCTGCCTGTCCCTCCCTCCCTCCCTCCCAGGCACCTGGGGACCTGCCTACCTTGCCCTGGTCCAAGATGGCTAATCTTTTGGACCTTGGTGGCATCTTCTGGGCTCTCCAGGCAGCAGAAAGCCCACAGGGGAGGAGGAGGAGGACCATCATGGCAGAGATGAGGCCCTTGGGAGTGGGCACGGCCGAGCCCCCTTCGGACCCTGGGAGGGCTCTTGCATGGGAAGGCCGAGGGCAGTTGCTTGGTGTCGCTGAACAGGGCACAGCCCAAGCCAGGGGAATGATGAGAACAAGAAGAAAAAGGGTGGGAACTGATCCTTTGGACTTGGCATTGCCCTGTGGTGGAAGACGTTCTTGTGGCAGGGTGGGTATCCCCAGCTGACTTGAAAGGTTTTGCCGGCCTGCTGAGGACTGACTCCTTCAGAGCCTGCACACACTGTGGGAGGGGAACGTTTGCCTGGCATGGAAAGGACAGCCTCCTGGCATGCTCCAGAGGCCCCTTGCCACCCTGGTTGCCCCCAGGGTGCTGGCCCAAGGCTGCCTTTTTTCAGCCAGGGGCTGGGCAAGGGCGAAGGTTGGAGGTGGGCAAGGGCTTGCGTCCAGGGCCAGCGGGAATGATGGGTAGGGCTGTTTCTGTCTGCCCCCCCCCCAGGCTGGAGCCGAGCTTGCCCACTGCGTCCCAGAGCCCAGCGCAGTCCCTGGTCCCACACACCCAGTTCCCTCCTTTCCCTCCTGAGGGCAGGGTCTACTCCTTCCAGAATGTCCTCCAGGTGCTGCGTTTCCTGGGCCATCACCTCGTCCGGCTCTTCTGGAAACCGGGCCAAGGCCAGCTCAGGTGATTCTCTCCAGCTTTGCTCAGGCCGGTGTGCAGCCGCTTGGGAGCAGGGGGCATGGAGCCACTGTTTTATACCTGCAGTTTTTTTCTTTCTTTCTCTACAGCGCGTGGTGGGGTTATATTGTGTCAGCTTAATGCAGCAGTGGCTTGGCCTTGGTGTGGCAGTGGAAGTTTTGGGCTGGTTTGGGCTTTCTGTCACACACACACCGCGCTCAGGGCTCTATTTGGGCACCAACCCTCAGACCCTTCTGCCTGATGCTCTTCCCGGCTCTGCATCCACCAAAAGAGCTCAACCTTTTGGGGTGGAAAGAGAGGAGAAAGAAGCAGAGATTCCTTGGGGAGGCTTCTGGGGCAGAGCTTAGCCTTCAGCACCAGGACACCATCCAAAGGGACTGCAACCGTTGAGCTGATTCACACAATTTCTTGTTTGTTCAACAACAAACAAACAAAAAAACAAACAGACCCAGGTTACATTCGTACTGTGGGGAGAGCCACAGCCCTGCAGAAACTCTGTCCCCTTGAATCCTTGATGTATCCACTCCGTCCTCCATCAGCTTTCTTTGGCTTTTCTGTTTTTGATATAGGACCCAGGCCCACAAAGAAACATAGGAAGATAAATAGTTTGAGAGTTGCAGAACTGTTTTTTAGCAAACATGCACACATTTGGAGACCCTTCACCCTTCACTGCAGCTCACTGGTGTTTGAGTTACGGGTTGATGATGGACTTCGTAGTTCTATCAGAGAGGAATATCTTTAATTCCCTTAATTGCACAGTGAAGAAGCTAATAATGTTTGGAGTTAAGAAGATTGATTAGCAAGTCCCCAATTAAAAAAAAAAAACACGAACTGCACAGCATTTTACCAGCGTCAATAATTGCTCAGACACCACTTTTAAGGTAAAATAGACATTCACTCATGGAACAACTTGCAAATTGCAGGCTGAAGCTTGTCAGAAAGTTGCAGTAAAATACACAGAAGTAAACAGTAGTAAACAGGCTCTTCTGAAAGTGAGATGGATGAAGAAAAAATATTAAAATAGTAAAAAACAGAAGTGGGTTCTCCCAGACCCTGTGGCTGAGAAAGCAAACATGGTAGGCATAAGGAAGAGGGGGATCAGCAGAATGTCCTTCCTTTATCATATCCCCAAACCTTCTGGGTTCTCTGAAGCAAAGGCAGTAAAAGCAATAGGACAGTGGAGGGGCTACCTTTGCCCATCGAGAAAGAAGCGTTAGCTAATTGGTCAAAGAGAGGAGGGGTGTCAGATTAATGACCCCACATGTTGGCAAACAAGCCCTTCCATCCTCCAGGGGATTTGCTAAACAAACTCCAACAGCTGGGTTTGTTGCCGCCAGTTTCACAACTCCCCTTGTTCCCTCCAAAGCCTGCTCAGGGGAGATCCCACCTCTTGAGACAACCCCCCCCGTGCCAACTCTAGGCCCCCCTGTTGACATCCATCCTGTGGACACATCTACACAAAGAGCACTGCTCTGAATAGGAGAGGAGAGAGGAAAGGGAGGAAGCCTTTGCGAGGAAGCCCGGAGCAGGGCCTCTGCCAGATGTGAGGTCTGGCCAGCCCTGCAGGAGGCAGGAGGATGGGAGGGGGGCTCCCTCAGCTGCTGGGTGGCGTGGTGACCCCTCTTCCTTCTGAGCCTTGTGCAGAAGGCATTCCCTTACACAGGTGGGTCCTTGGTTACCTGAAACTCCCCTTGTTCTTTGAAAGGGTGGAGAAGGGTGATTGTTCTGTCGTGATTCTTTGCTTACACCAAGGGGAGCTCAAACTCTTCCTGGTTGACTGCCGATTCCCAAGAGATCTCTCGCATGCTCCAAGCTAGCTTGGTGCCCTCAAGCTGGGGTGGAAAGGTTGGTCCCACTGCCAGGACTGGTCCTGGTGGCTCGGGGAGTGGCTGGATCCAGCCAGGGTTGTCCTTCAAGTCAGGCGGCAGAAAAAACCCCCCGCCCCCTCTTGCTGAGGCTTGTCCTGCTATGATGTCCCCTTTTTCTCTTCTCTTGCTCCCGGGTGCCCCCCATCTCCTTTTCCCTTTTAGTTCTCAGGAAACGAGCACCTCCCTGGAGGAGTTTGGGACCACAGACATGCTGGCGATGAGGAAGCAGGTAGGAAGAATGCCATCCCCAACACCTCCCTCCCTCCCTCTGCCCACCCACACGGGCCTCTCTGTGCCACTCTCTTCCTTTCCTTTTCTTCTCTGCAGCTGACTCTGATCTCTGGGCGTCTCCAGGCGCTGGAGGCACAGTGTGTGGGGTGGCGCCAGAAGGAGTTCCTCTTCTATTCCATCCTGGTCCCAGCCTCTCTCCTCCACCTGTGGCTTTGGCTGAGGAGATGACCCGTGATCTGTCCTGGGTGAGGTGGGGAGAGAGGCCAGAGCTGGTAGTTTTGTTAGCAGCCAGTTACCAGTGTGCGCTTAGTAGGCTTTACTGCCCCCACCCCAGTCTAGGTGCCCTGGGACACACCGGCCATTTCTGCTAGCTACAGCGGGACTAGGATGAGTGGCGTGGAGTGGATGGGAGGGGCCTTCTGGTTGCATTCTGAGGAGGTCCACTGTTTGCTTAAGGTGGGTGGTGTGGAGTGGGGGGAGGGGGGAAGGAGGCAGCTGGAGGCCAGGCTTGGCTGCTCCTCAGTGGAATTGGGGAGCCTCCAGGGATATCAGGGCCCCCAGAGAGTGGGGTGGTGGTGACGGCTCTCCAGTTCACTCAAGTGGCCCACCTAGGACACAGCGTTGTGTGCGCATCCTGGCTACAATTCAGGCGACTGACATTGAGAAGAAAGGTTGCCTTCGGAAGGACTTCTGGGCCCTTTTGGCCAGGACAGACTCACCTGGAACAACGAGACCCACGCTGCTCTGTGATCATCGCTTTGGGACCGCGGTGTTTCCTCTGCATTCCTGAACCCATTGGCATCGTCACCTTGGCGTGATGACCTGGTGGCCAAGGACAGCAGGTGGCTCCACGTTGGCCACATCAAGGGGCCCAGTAAACAGCCAGAAGCTCCCAGCCCCTGTGTTGTTCCTTTGGCACAATCTCCTTGGAGAATCTCCAGGGCCTGAGGGTGGCTTCTTTTGGGGCGAGAACAGAGCGGACCCCACGGAGTTCAGCACCACCATCACCACCATCACCACCACGGCTCGAATGTGCGGACGCTCCTGTGAGTCCTTCACTGTGTGTTCTCCTCATCGTGTGCCCACCTGGGCTGGATCAGAGGGTCCTGAATTTTAATAAAATGCCTGATAAACTTTAAAAAAGCCTCTCTGTGTGAGAGAAAGAGGGCAAGACTGACACCGGCAGGGCAGTTTTGGGGGCGGAGAAGGATGATCAGGGTGGGGCTGGTTTTTTGGGTTTGCTGCTGGGCACTGCAACCCTTGTGCCTCTCTCAACACCTCTTTCAGAGCCTCACAAGCTGTGTGGCCCTCATGGCACCTTGTGTGTTTTCAATCCACACATGAGGACATGCTTCCTTTGTGAAGAGGTTCTCACTCCACCGTTTCACCCTTTTGCCTCTCGTTACTAGGCTGCATTTAGGACTCTTCAGTGTTTTGAATAAATATTGGCCAACCTGCCCCCCCTCCAAAAGCTGGTTCATTATACATCTTTTCTGAAATTGATCAGTTTGCATCTTAGTGAGTCAATCAGGAACCTGAAACAGGTAAGCGTCTTGCAGGCATCACACAGCAAAGTAGAGCCAGCCTTGTAGCGGCTGCAGGACTTTTGCCCAAAGTGCCCGCTTGCTCTCCACGAGGCTCAGAAGGAACTAGGTTTGCTCATTGGCTCACTGCCCAGTGTCCTTTATTTCCAGTTCAACTAGCCCTTCCCTGTTGTTGGGGGGGGGGCTAGGGAGGACCATCCCACACCTGTTGTCAGGGAAGTGCTTCATGCTGATGCTGTTTCCATGACAACCGTGACACAGATGAAAGCTTTTTGGAAGAGAAGGCTTGAAGAATACCATGGGACTACATAGAGCACACAATGGCCTCCATCCGATAAGACTGGCATGCCATTTTGCGTGCGCAGCTTCCCCTTCTGCTATTTAGAAGCCTCCTGGCTGCTCATGTCCTTTTGAATAATGGGTTCTGTTCTGCTTTCAGGAAGGTATGGGCAATCTTCGTGGTGGACTTTGCAGGGGAGGGGTGGTCCAAGTCAGTGACCTGCTCATCCTCTGCAACAGGAGCTCTCTGGTTCTTGATTGTGTGGGGGATTGACAACAGGGCTCCCTGAGCAAGCCATGGGCCTTGAGAAGATGGGGGTCGTCCCTCAGCCCTGGAGCCCTGAGATCCTTCCTCTCTCCTCTGCCCTCACGGCTCCCTTGTGTGGCTTCTTCGCATAATCTCTGCTTTGACTACAAGTCTAGCACAGGAGCTGGGGGTCCCAAGTGGGACCAGTCTGTCTTGGCCAAGTGGCTCCCCCGGCTGCTCCTGGTGGTTTTTGGTGAAAGAGTAAAGACAGCCTTGCCTCACGCTTCACGTGCACATGGCCCCTCTGGAGAGAAGTGCTCAGATGCTGGTTTATACATCCAGCACACCAGGCTTCCCATCTGTTGCCTTTTTCTGAGAGAGCGAGAGCCTCTTTCTCATCAGAACACTCTTTCTCCCATTGTGGAGTCTCTGGAGAACCTGTTTCAATGAGTGCCAGAGAAGGTACCTGCTCTGCTGGTTGATCCTGGACTACCCATCAGACGGCCTCTACCCTGTGGATGTTGGCATCCAGCTGTGCTCAGCTGAGGCTGTGGAGCCCCAAGAGGTCGGGGGGGGGGCTTTCATACTGCTCTAGTGAAAGTTCTCTCTTCCTCTTGTGAGGCAGCAAATGCAAGTGGATCTTGTTAATAGCAGATGGAGTTTCCTGATGAAAGATTTATCATTCTCCACTGCTGATTTTTTCTTCTTCAATTACTTACCTGGGTACTGGCATTCAAGCAGAGCAAAAGACTCGAGTAGGATGAAGAGGTGAAGCAGATGTGTTCAGGCTGAGGCATGGGAGAGGAGCAGACGAGGAGGAAACAGAAAAGGTCCCTGTGCCTGCATTGCACCATGAGACTAAGGATTCCTCCAAGACCTTGCAACTCGTCTCCTGGTAGTTTTCTTGGAGCAAAGCTTACTTGTCAAAGATCCCAAGAAGATGCACACAAAATAGTTGACAGCCCTGCAGTTCAAGCTGGACATTCCATTTTGACCCCTGACTTTGGTTACTTGTTGTCAGCCTCCTCCACCCAGAACTGTGTGGATCTATATGCTTTTCCCATATGTTTGAATTCGTTGATTCCATTGAGACCTGGACCAGCTACCCAAATGTTTTTTTAGGATCAGAAACCTGGTCTAACTTTTGATTGTCATCCACTGGAACACCCACATTTCCTGTGCCATCTCAAGGGCTGCTGACTTTGGAGAAGAGACCTGGGCTCTATAGCAACAGATCCAGTCCAAAGTATGGGTATTTGACAAGAGAGTATATTTGTTGTCTCTGCCGGTCCAGACTGACCTTGGTCACCATTGGATAGTGCCTCCATCAGTACCTCATTGACACCTTCAGTTTCCTTTCTGGCATCCTAATCTTTGCCACCTTTCTAGGGAAATGGGGACTCCGTGATCTCCAGTATGAACACCACCCACTCCTCTCTTCTACCCTCACCTCCATTTTTGGCTGATGGTCCCACTCAGTGGGTCACATTGTGCCAAATAACAAAATGTGTCCCACGCAGGCTTGATGTGGGGCCCAAACAAAGGTTCAGCCTTGGAGAACCTCTTGGCAGTATTTATTTTTATACAGTATATGAAGTGAAAATAAGCCACTTTTCCTATTGAGTCCACAGTTAGCAGCCAAGTAAGAAATTGCCCATTCAAAATTCTTCCTCCCAGTTTGACTGGCAGCCTTAATCCAGCACATGAATTAACAGGAAAGTCACCAGAGTTTGGTTGAGGTAGTTCTGGGAGAGAGAGGCAGAACCTGCCAGGCAGACAGAAGAAGAAGAAGCACTTGCATCTGAACGGAGGGAACTCAGGGTCCAGTTACCTGGTCTGTGTGCATGGATTCTTGAAAGACATGTGCCTTGGCAGAAAATAATAATCCATGTGCATCTGCTATGAAAGCCCCCATTCATTCATTCTGATTCTGGGCTGCACATTCCACTTTCCAAAATAAAGTTGCCATGTGGGAGGCACCAGTGTGAGTCGATGCCCCATGTTTACAGCCAACGTTTTGGCTGGGCTAACCAGTGCACTGTGGCTGGACTGAGTGCTCAAGGGAACATTCCAAGAGGATGGTGATTTACCAAATGCCCACCTAGCACTCCTTCTGGTGGGAGTCTGTGGCAGTGCCCGTGCCTGTACAAGGGTGGCGGTGGCAGCAACCCAAGACCTGGCCGAGGAAGGATAGAAGCCGCAAGGGGGTGCTGTGGACCATGGAAAGAATCAGCCGGCCAGCCCAGCTTAGCCTGGTTGAAAGGGAAGCCAAGAGAATTTGGAGGGGGGGGAGCTGACAAGGACTGGGGAGCAGAGGGCCAGCCACAGAAGACGAGACGAGCATTTCACAGGAACCCGGAGGCCACACTCCTCTCCTTTGCCTGCTCTCCAGAAAATCCAATGGTTGTGCTTGTGGAGCATCAGCTGTTTTGGTCCCCACACACAAGTGTATCAATTCTTTCCTCTATTTTGCCACAAGTGGCTGGCATGTTGATCTCACCCATATGCAAATGGTTCAGAACTGCTAGCCAGAAAATTTTACAGACCTGACTTTTGGATTATGCCAAAAGTCTAATGCACCACTCTCCAAAAGTTCGTGAAATTGACCTTTTTCAGAAGTGCAGGACTTCTATCAAAACAGTACATTCCATTATGCTTTTTTTTTTCAAAAAAGAATTTCGTTGGAAGAATCATTTATTTGTGGGGGGGAAATGGATATGGCTGCATCCCTGCCATAACCTGTGACCAAGGGTTAGGCTGCAAAGCTGTCATTCTTTCTCTCTGTGCCAAGTCCCTGAAATCTCCCCAGGACCAGCCATGGCCACTTAATGGAGTCCCCGCTGCTCTTCTCCTGGCTGCCAGGGCGGGATCCGGCCCAAAACCCCACCAACCACACGCAGAGTTGATAGCCACCATCAGGCAGCTGGAGCGCTGGAGCCTTCGGTGTCTCTGGCGCCGGGAGAAAGGTGGCAGGAGGTTTGGAAGGCTTCTTCCGGTCGGTCGACTCGGGAACCCAGGGCCCCCTGCCTGCAAGCCGCGGCCTCGTGGCCTCCCCGCCGTCGTCGCCGCCGCTCTTGCTCCTGCTTCTGTTCTCGCAGCTCCGATTTCTTGGCCTTGCAGCGAAGAGAGCATCTGACTCGTTTTCTGCTTGGGGGAGCCGCTGCGCTCTTTGCTGCTCCCAGCTCATAATGCGCGAGGGGGAGAGGCGGAGGGAGAGGAGAGATGTGTGTGTGTGTGGGGGGGGTGTCTCTGTTTCTAGCAGCCACAATGCGGGATTCTGGGTTCTCTACACAGCCAACAAATCAGACGGTAGGTCGTAGCAGCATTAAACAGACAAACAAAAAAACTCAACCACCCCCAGGCTGTGGACCCTGTCCCTTGGGGGGAGTGCAACCCCATTCAGGGCAGGGAAATGGCCCTCTAACCTGTCCTGCAAAGCACCCACTAACAGCACTTCCATCTTGTCTGGACTGAGTTTCAATTTATTAACCCTCACCCAGTCCATTATCAGGTCCAGACATGAGTTCAGTTTAGAGACTACTTCACCTGGATTGGTGTCAAACAAGAGGTAGAGCTGAGTGTCATCAGCATATTGCTGACTCCTCAGCCCAAACCCCCTGATGACCTCTCCCACGGGTTCAATGTACACAGAACCACTGGGAGGACAGTATTGAGCCCTGGGGGACAGTATCGAACCCTGAGGAACCGCCCCGCCTGCCCCCCCTACCCTCCCCCAAAGGTGTAGGTGACTTGTTCAAGCCACTCATATACACCTGGAGGGCACCAGCCTGGAAATACCGTGAGAAGACACTGCTAAGAGGGAACTGGGACAGGATCCTGTGGGTGGCCTTGGTTTAAGCCGGGGTCTTCAGCATGGGGGGCTCCTTAGAAGAAACCGTAGGCCCGACTCTCTCCAGGAGCCGGTTTTGCCCCGACTGTCAGGCCATCAGGCTGGAGGAGAAAAGAAGAGAAGAAAGGGGACGACTGACGACGCCCCCCCCGCCCGTGCCTGCTGCCCAGGTCCCTCTTCTCTGCTCTTTGGGAAGAAGCCAGGGCCGCCCTTGCT